GCAGTTTAATGTTTACACTTGTCAAACATGGCGTCTTCACCTCGGATAGACGAACAGAACGTGAATTGCGACGGTTCCGGTGCCCCGAGAGCTCGCCAGTGGGTAAAACTAAATGTAGGAGGAACACATTTCCTCACCACAAGAACCACATTATGTCGGGATCCTAATTCCTTCCTCTGTCGACTCGTTCAAGAGGATCCCGAACTCCACACAGACAAGGTAGGTTCAAAGGTGTACAGGAATTTAATTGTATGTACATTTTAGATGTTCATTTAAGGAATGGTTTTATTATGTATATTTCTGTTACGTTTGTCGTATTGTTGTGGTAAATTTGGTAAAGCTGTATTCTACGCATTATTCCTCTAGAGATTATTACTGATAAAGTTTAAGGGATGCCCTTTTAATGTACGGTCAATTTTCATTTTAGTTCATGGATCTCAGGTGTTGTTTCAGTGTAGATTGTTGTATCAATTATTAGGGAAATGTTTTGCATATGCTTTAGTATTATTTTCTGTTGGTTGAAATTTCAGCACTTTTAGTACGACTTCATGTTATGGTTAAATGCCTTTGGAACTCTTTGAATTTTAAATGTAAATGTGAAAGGCAGGAACACAGAATGAAAGCTATTATTGTTAAAGATAATTTCAATTGGAGTCATAATTTTGCAAGTGAAGTAAGATTGTTGCAGATTCAAGAAAAGTTCAATAACATCAAAAGCTGTATTATCTCATGCAGTATATATAACTGGTTTTAGCTTCAGATAACAGTGGAGATAGTAATACCACCAAAAAATGAATTTAATAAGATGTAAAACAATGGTTATAAATAAGTCATGTATAATACCTTATAACTAACACTGGGTCTTGTAAGTAATTAGAATAAATATTAGTACCTGATATTTAAACCAGAGATTGGAAACCAAACTGAGAAAACACTATAATTATGAAGTATTGCTCCTCATATACAATTAAGTAATAATGGAAAATGAGGTGCCCTTCTGAGGCATTTGGTGGTCTATAAGGATTAGTCATGTCTAAATTAAAATCATGTCTATGAGTAGGGAAAAACAAAACAGCATTTAAATTAATCATTGTTCCAGCAAAGTAGGAGAAGGAAGTTTGTGTTAAAGAACCAGTGGAAGTCAGCCTAAATGTAAAGTTATTTTAAGTAGCAAGTATGGCTGTGACATTTATTTCTACTGCAAATATGGTACATGTATAACAAAATAGGGTAAATGTTTATGATAGGACTGCACCCGTCAGGGACGAAATCCCCAACTCCCGCCAACAAGGTTGGGGGATCCTGTAGGGATTTGGGGGTTTGGGGGGGGGTGATTTTGTTCATACCATGCATTTTAAAAAGCAAAAGAAACTGGGAAATTGAAAATCTGAGCCAAGGTTAGTATTTCAGATGACAAAGAAAGTGGAAAATGTAAAGACACGAGAAGATTTGGCCACGGATGATTCGATATGGTATTGCGCGAGTGAACCAGCGAGTGAACTGCATCTTAAACACACAAACTAGCAGTAGGATCGCCGTATGAACAAAGAAACCCTCCTAACCCGGGGGCTATGCCCCCGGACCCCCTCCCAATTGCCATATTTCCTTACTGGGGGCTTTGCCCCCAGCCCCCCTCCCAATTGCCATATTTCCCTATCAGGGGCTTTGCCCCCGGACCCCTCCCAATTGCTGTATTTCCCTACCGGGGGCTCCAACCCCGGACCCCCTCCCGATTATCTAGCTTCCCTACCGGTGCCTCTTGATCGCCACTGACTACACTTAGAATTACAAAATGAGTTTACCTTAAAGTTGGGGGGATAGTGGTTGGCAAGTGATGAACAGCAGACGAAATTCTACAACTGGAACACGGTTATTGTATTTCACTGAGTTTCGTGTTATCCCCGATACTGTAACAATTTCAGTGAGAGAACGATTTCACTGCAAAGTAAGAAAAAAATGGGAAATGCAAGTAGCACTGTAAACAATCTTCACCTTTGGAACAAACAACGAGAACTGTGACAACAAAACTGTCAAATTTGCCGGGAGAGGGCAGCAATGTGCAAGTATGGATATACCATGTATTTCTAATGAAACTATGGTACGTTTATGATAAAATCCATCACATCATGTATTTAAGGAATGAACATTTGAAAAATGCGTTTTTCGTTAAAATTTCATATAAGTTAGAATACAGAAATACATTTTACTACTGTGCATTTATAAGAAATTTGTCTTGACGTCATGAGCTACATGTGCGAAAACAGTTCATGTTGGGTTCCCACGCAGCTAAGTGGTTCGCTGTGACGTGAAGATGGTTGGGCTTAGTCGCTGGGGGCTCGTGGGGACTTAGTCCCCATGCGGCATTCTGCGCGCCAACTTTTCCTCATTTAACTCGAACAGGTTCGCATCTGCAAATCAGTTTCATCGCCTACAATGCTATGATCTTCAATATTCTCCTAGTCGGTGTGGTCCTATCATAAACCTTAACCCAAAATAGATCACATAGTATATTTAAGGAATGAACATTTAATAAATGTATATTTCCTTATTTAGAATTAGAATACAGACATACATTAATAGTATAGTGCATTTCTAAGAAATTGACCAAGATATCATAAGCTACATGCACCCAGACCGTTCATGTAGGGTTCCCAAGCAACTGAGATGTTCGCTGCAAGGCGAGGAAAGCTTGACTTAGTCGCTGGAATTGTATGGGGACTTAATCTTAGTTCAGTATTCTGTGTGCCATATTTTCATCATTTAAGTTGAACAGGGTGGTTTCTGCAGATTAAATTTGATAGCAAAAAATGTAATTTTTCATTGCTAACACCATTATCTTTAAGTTTCTTCGAGCGCATATCAGCTAAGGGCATTTTCATGGCGTCTGCTTCGCCGTAATGCCACGCTGGGGACCGCCTTTCTCCTACTTAGTGCAGTCCTTTTATATACCTTAACCCAGCTGTGCAAAGGAATAGTCATTAGTAACCATCAAATTTTGATATCTGAGCCTGTCAAGTATCCCAGTTATCAAAAAAAAAAAAAAAAGATAAGCAGTTCAGTCATTGGAAGCAAAGGAAAGTGTTGTGTTTTGTTAAACAAGGGTATGTAGCTTTCAGGGAGTAAAGGTATTATACTGTAATTTATACTAAATAACACATTGTTTCTATTTGATGCAGGAAAGTAAGGCAATTGCTGGGGGGGTTGGGGCAATACCCCAGGTTAAGGAACATTTTTGTTTCATATGGTAAATTTTGTGGATTCCCAGAAGTGGCCCAAGTTGCAGGCCGTAGTATTAGGGACTTCCTCTCTGAGGAGTGTGGTCACTTTGTAAATAAATACAGATTTTTTTCTTTCTTTTTTTTTACTAATCCTAAAATAAGTCCGTGTGAAAATCAAGAAAAATAGGTATTATGGTTTTAAGTAAGCCACGTTCTGAGTTCCCAGTTCCTTACTGAACCATTGGGTAATTTTTTACAGTATATACACCCTTGCCATAGACATACTCCCCAACTCAACGGCACAAAATTTATCAAACAATCTAAGTTGCTGTGACTGGGCACAAGGTTTCACTTATTTTTGGAAAATAATGATATGATAACACACATACCTAAACACATGTAATTATTCTTAACACACACAAATATATAGTTCCATTTCATTAACAGTATTAGCATAATGTATTTTCCTATATGTAATTTTTTTTCCTTTCAGATGTATTCAGTCAAGAATGTAAATTAAGTACTATATATGTAACTATATGTGTAATCTTAGCTTAATCAAAATCTTGGGTTGACAAGGTACACCGTTTTTATTATATGGACATGTGATCACATTGCATAATGTAATTTTGCTTGTGTATTAATCCATTTATGACAGTTGACATCCTATTATGTCATGGATAGACTACCAAGATGATGTCCCTGCCATGATGGTCATGTCTACCCCACCCTTGTTTTAACCTCATTATTAAAAAAAAGTTATCTGTGTTGCAATCAAGAAGAGAGAGAGTGGGACAAGTTCATTTTTCTGCTCTTCCAACTTTTCCCTCGAGTAGCTGACTCCAGCTCCCACACAGTACGAGATTAAGTATGGCACTGGGAGATCTCATTGCGAGATAGTTAAACATCTTCAGTGAACAAAGGGAGATGTTTGTTAGATAAATGGAATATCACAGCTTTTAGTGTCATTGGTTCCAAGTACAATAGATATTAGTCATTGGTCCACTATTTTGAGGACAGTCTGCTATTTTCCAGTTTGTAAAAGCTGATTTATGTATATGTCACAGTTTACTATGCAGGAAAAGAGTACATTGCATACTGAGATTATTTCATGTTCCTTCATTACTTTTCTGGTTTCTTCTGTTTATCAAGCATTTGCTGTAATATTATTTGGCTATACCCAACTCTTACTATAGTTGGAAAGAGGAGTAAAAACATATTTTTAAGGAGCTGTATGTTTTTATGGAATCACTAGTACTCTTATTAATATTTTATTTTATTTTGTTATTCATCTGAAATTTTATTTTTATTGTTATCATAGTTGCTATTATTATTATTGTTGTTGTTGTTGTTGTTGTTGTTGTTGTTGTTGTTGTTGTTGTTTTTCTTATTCTTAATATTGTTATTATTATTATTATTATTTTTTTATTATTATCATTATTTTTGTTATTATTATTATCATTATTATTGTTATAATAATAATTATTATTATTATTGTCATTAACTTATTTATTGTTTTTGTTATTATTATCATTATTGATTTTATTATTACTATTGGTGCTATTATTATTGTTGTTGTTATTATTTTTATTATTATCATTATCATTATTAATATTATTATTATTATTTTGTTATTATTGTTATTATTATTATTTTGTTATTATTATTATTATTATTATTGTTGTGTTATTGTTGTTGTTATTATTATTACTATCATCATCATCATGATGATGATGATGATGATGATGATGATGATGATGATGATGATGATGATGATGATGATTGCTACTGTTGTTGTTATTAACTCTAAAGCCATTTGCGCAACACAATTGTTGAGGCACATTATAGTATAAAGGAAATTCTTGTTCAAGCATCTCAGCAATATGGTAGGTGTTAGCCTAGTACAAATATATGTCAGTAGATGGCATTGGATTGGAGGTGTGCCTCAGTATAGACAGCCTCTTAGAGCTGTGCTGTGGCATCATATTTTCTCCTAACTCTTCACCTCTCCTGAGTGTGATGTGGATAAGTAATCATTCTTTTTTATCTCTTGTTTGCCTTTAAATATTGAAGTCGTATGTGTTTGAATTGTGATGTTACGATGTAATGATAGGTATTTGAATATTGATCAACAATTTTGTTGATCTGCCCACTTGCTGAAAAAAGGAGGGTTTGTGTTACCTCATTAAAATTGTTAGTAATGTATGTTATATACACTGTATTTCTTGCATAGGGCACAACATGCATGTGTGTGTGTGTGTGTGTGTGTGTCTGTGTGTGTGATTATGTGTGTGCTTGTCTGGAATTTGATATATAGATGTATATATTTTTGTGTAACAAAATCTGTTTTATTCTGATAGGATGAAACTGGTGCCTACTTAATAGACAGAGATCCCACGTACTTTGGGCCGGTGCTGAATTACTTACGACATGGGAAGTTAGTTATGAATAAAGATTTAGCTGAGGAAGGTAAGATACTGCTGTGATTTTAGAGCTTCTATTTTTTAGAATGTTCTTTTATGGATGTCATTGAGGATACATATTGATTTTATGAATTGCTCTTTCTATATTGCTAATATTAGTTATAGATAGGGTATTGGATGTGGAGATTTACTGTATTGTATTAGTATTCAATTAGATCATAATGCCAAAAATTAAATAATGTTTTTGTTGCAGGAGTACTTGAAGAAGCAGAATTTTACAACATCACAGATTTGATTAGGTTAGTGAAGGAGCATATAAATCAGAGAGATAACAGGCCACCTAAGGCAGGCAAGAAGCACATGTATCGAGTCCTTCAGTGCCATGAAAATGAGTTGACTCAACTTGTTTCAACAATGTCAGATGGATGGAAGTTTGAACAAGTAAGTTTTTTTTATTTTTTTTTATGTTATGGTATGTGTGATATGCATGATATAGATGTGTCTATTTCATTTTGTAATTATCTTTTTTCATAAATGTGTTTTCATATAACAATGTCTTTTGAAGAGAACAACTATCATTTTAGCAAATAGATGGAAATGCTTGGAATTGTGCTAGACATATAGAAGTGAACCCACTGTCGTGGGGAAAATGTTGTGTTCACAGTAGTACTGCTTTGTGAAATGTGTCTGCATATAGATGGCTCTGCAAGTGCTTAGCCACAAAGGAGTCAATTAATAGACTTTGTGACCTCACCTGATATCACCTTCCCTTGAGTTTGTGGGGAAGACATTATTTTTCCTGTCATTATTGGTGTTGCTATTTTTATTATATACATTATGATTATTATAGTGCTATTGACATTACTAATAGCAATATAAGATACTACAAAATTTTTTCGAAAGTCAAGGTAAAGAGTAAACAGGTGAGACAGGTAGTATTTGTAATTAGTACTTGTGGAGCCATCTGTGTAAAAACAATTCATAGATTATAATCACGGTGGGCATGGTATGTACTTATTTGCCATCCCTGGTGACATTGGGTTAAAAGATATGTCATTTTGCCTTGATGATGCCTTCAATTTATTGAGAGACATGTGCAAAACAAGGTATTATTTATGCTAATAACTTCTGTTACCCATTTAAGTGTATTTTTATTAGTATATCTTCTTGTTATTGTTGGGAGTTTCTAGAATAGTCATGTCTCATTATGATGTTTTCATATATTTCATATATTTGAAAATCCCCAAAGGTACTACTTTCTCATTAGAGTATTATTTCCTCCACAGCTGATAAATATTGGGTCTCAGTACAGCTATGGTAGTGAAGATCATACAGAGTTCCTGTGCGTTGTGTCCCGAGAGTATTCCTCTTCACCAGGGACCCACACGTGTTCTACAGACCGGCCCGACCATCTGGATCTGCACAACTCCAAGGACTGTAGGAAACTCAACTTCATGTACAATTTGCCAGGGTCACCATAGAATCCCCTGCTTCCTACTACATCACTTCTCTTCATGGTCACTACAGAGTATCCTGCTGTCGCAAATTTCCTCACTTCTGAAGGTTGCCTTATGGTAACCCCTTACTTAGTACACTGTCTGTATGTTGAGGAAGTCCATAAGCTCCTTGCTGTAGACCACCTCATTACCTACATCTGATTCCTACTAACTTTTTCATATTCTACCTGTTTGGATTTTGCTGCCTGTGATGTCAGGAATGTGGCTTGCTGGAAATATATCATTGCTGAGGCTTTTATCAGTGTTAAAAAGAGCAAACATAATCTCATGCACTCTTTTTTCTAGAGAGAGAGAGAGAGAGAGAGTTAATTAGAATGAATGAACTGGTGATCATGAAAATGA